TTGCTGCGGGTACTGGCTCTACCCATGTGGTGTTGTAGCTCTGTGAATGACAAAGAAACATGGTTAAACATGGTGTTGTAGATACAAAAGTGAAAGGGAACGAATAGAAAAAAACAGAACCTTCGCTGCCTGCAAGTTTCGGACACAAGATGTTCACAGAAGGGTCAAAGTTCGGAGTCAGGAGTAGAATATTACCATGTTATCTGGAAATTGGCCCCAGTGCGAGCCTTCGTCGTCCATGCCGTGAACGAGAGGGGGCGTGCCGTCGAAAGTTATGGTGCGGCAACAGACCTTCGTGTCGCCGGAGGGCAGAATGGCAGATAATCAACTTTGTCGTCAAGGGGGTTTTGGTCCAGGCAAGTTAAATGATACCGTAACGTTGACGTCGTCGGCTTATTTGCGTTGTCCGACGACTGCACTGATTGAATTTGGGGTTGTCTTCGAATGGAAACAGAAACAGTGCGAAATATGAGAGAAACTCGTGAATTTGGCTACAAATATCAGGGAAGGGGCAGATTGGGAAATTGGTGTAGCCATGTGGGGAGAATTATGTCATTTGGCAAGTAACGTTCACTTTGAAAAATGGGATACCTGCAGACCGATAACTGAGAGTTCACAGATGTGGCTCCCACCTCAGTCAAAGAAAGTGGTTGAAAATTTGTAAATAATGTAATTTTAACGTGGAGAAATGGGGCTCAAACAGGGGCTCAATTTGATTTAGTTAATTATTGATTTTAAAATGGTGGACAGTCACGTGTGTGTCTTGGACAAATATAAGCAAACATTTTTAGTTGATTATAATAAAGATTTCTTAGTGTTTCTGTTTAATAAGAATAACAGCGTCCCACTTTCAATAGGGAGCGTGCACTATAAATAAACTATAACGTTAATAGAAATTTCACCACAGAATAGAAAGAGACAATCATAGAGAGAGGTTAGTTTAACTCTATATATATATAGACGGCAGCAAATAGCTTCCACGTCAAGAAACTGCAAAAGAAAATATTGGAACTTACGTTCATTTCTCTTTCAAAAAATTCATTTAATTTATTAAGGTAAGATACTTTTGTGCAAGTGGTTCATTTCCGTATACTTTTATATTCAATAATTTATGCATGAATTGCTAGTGGATCTTCGCGTTCCACCTAACGGAATGTGATTCTATTGGGTTCTTTATAACGAAATGTGAAATCCTTTGGAAATTCAAAGTATTACGGATGGATGTGTCGCTTGGTCATCGATATACTCCATAAGAAATGTGGTATGCTGTGTGATGCGGACTGCCGGGCGGATCGAAGAAAAGGAAAAATTATACCTTATGTCTTTAAATTCTTAGTTAGTTTAAATTTATTCAAAGTCATGATATTAAATAAATTAGTTGAACATTTTTTTTATACAATTTCCATGTTTAATTTAAATTTACAGATATTTCAGTTATTTTATTTATTTTTATCGTTCCACAATTATTATAAAAAACATTGAGTTTTGGTAACACTTTAAGATTTATTAAAATTTGGGGTGTTAAACTGAAATATTCATAAACTTAAACTAAACATGAAAATTGTATCAAAAATAAATAAATACACATGTTCAACTAATTTATATAATAACATGTCTTTGAATAAATTTAAACTAACTAAGAATTTAAAGACATAAAACTTAAGGTATAACTTTTCCGTTTCTTTGATCCACTTGGCAGCCCGCATCACCATCCTGACAGAAATCCAATCGACACAAACTAACTTGTAAAATTATAGTAAGAGGGCATTGAAAATTACCGAGTAAGATTCGTGCAGTTTTTATAGATAATTATATAACAATAAATTAAGCACTGCATACCACATTTCTTATGAAGTATATTGATGACCAAGCGATACACCCATCAATGGTACTTTGAATTCCCGAAGGATTTCACATTTCGATATAAAGAACCCAATAGAGTTCACATTCCGTTAGGTCGAACCCAAAGGTCCACTGACAATTCATGAATAAATTATTGAACATAAAAGTATACAAAAACGAACCACTTGCACAAAATGTCTTACCTTAATAGATCAAATGAATTTTTTGAAAGAGTTGTGAAAGCAAGTCCCAATATTTTTCCTTTTGCAGTTTCTTGACGTGGAACCTGATTTCTGCCATGTTTGTATATATATTCTATTGTAGTTAAACCAACTTCTCTTTCTCTCATTGTCTCTCTATTCTATGGTGAAATTTCTATTGACATTATAGTGTATTTTTAGTGCAAGCTCCCTTTGAAAGTGGGACACTGTGATTCTTATTAAATAGAAACACTAAGAAATCTTTACTCTAATCAACTAAAAGGTTTGCTTATATCTATCCAAGACACACACGTGATGGCCCACCATTTTAAAATCAATAATTAACTAAATCAAATTAAGTTTCCTATTGAAAGTGGGCTAGGATTTGACTTTCTACATGTCCATCCTACAACAAACTAATTAATTCCCTGTACTTACCTAATGATGTTGGGATTGCATCTATTTTCTAGTTATATGAGAATTTTGATGGTACCCATCCGCTACACATGGCGATCTCCAATTTAATAAAATATTATTAAATAACAATTTCTTTAAACGTCAATATCTTAAGCTTAACATAACCAAATTAACTTTTTCTCAAGTCGAAGGATTCTAATTAATTACAACCTACAAAATGAGTTCGATATTGATATACTAAATCTCGTTCCATCAATATCTAATTATTTGGCCTAAATAAAATAGTATTTTAAATTTTAGTCCCCGATTTTTCAAAATATAACATATAAAACAAATAAAATTTATTCTATAAAATTTTTGGGGTACTACAAATTGTGCTCTAATTGTTGCAAAAAAACACAGTTTGAAAACTTTCCCAGAGTCATTAGTTGGGGTAAGAGGGATATATTGGAACTCAAATGCTACAATCTTGATCAGCCTACGCTTCCCCCTTAAAAGGTGTAAAATTTTCTAAAAATAAATAAATATACACACATATGCACACATATATGTATATACAACATTTATGAACATGGGTAGCCGAACATGGAGAAGGAAGCACTTCCCGTCTCTAACTTGATTTTGTTTCTTTTATTTTTGAAATATCCCAAAAATTACTGTCCGCTTTCTATGATGGATTCCTTATCCACTGTCATCTCCAAAACCGCCATAATTGACATGTTAATTTCAAGCAAACAGAGATATAAACTTCGTAGACTAATTTTAATGCAAAGGGTACCAGGTTTGTCATGCCTTTGTCGACATTAAAATATTATGTGCACGTTAACTTTTCATTAACTAGAGTATATACCTCCTTCATTGTAGCTTGACAAGCTGCCTTTTGCATATCATCTTTGCAACGAGCAAAAGCCCTTTCAACATAACCACGCAATGAGTTGGGGAACACGCCAGGCTGCACCAGAAAAGATGACAACTTCAGTATAATACTGTCAGGAATGAATCCTCCAGCCTAATATGTGTTACTGATATATGTTGGCACAGCAGGTCATGTCATGTTATGGTGTTTTTCTGTTCAAATGAACTCAAAGAATATAATTGAAACCACATTTAAATATGAGGCACAAAAGCTTATGTAGTCACAGACATATGACATACAACTAAACTACGAAACAAGACCAATGCTGATCTAGGAGTAAAAATAATACACATTGACCAACAAAAATGTCTTATGAGATAATGAGAATATCTTCTTTTCAGAGATAAATCAACCACCAGCAAGGATTCTATGGCAAGGAGCTCCAACTCTACTAGTCTGAGTCAACACCAGCAAATATTGAATAACAATCACAATAGAGGAATGTGGCTGCGTCACTAGACCACTACGTTGCTTGAGCAAAGCTCAATCACATCAATCCAACACTCAATTCTTTCTCTGTCACTTAACATATAATATAAGCACGCTGATCTAATATCAATTGAAAAACAAAACGAAAACCTAATGATCTTAAATTATTCCTTACAAAGCTGTTTTAACTTGACAGATCAATCAATTTGAGTTCAGGTTTTTGTAGATCATCATTATTCCTCAGCAATCTATACATGTCTGCCCTAATTCTTTGCCAAACCATCTAAATATCAAAGAATGATGAATGCCATTTAGAAATGGAACAGTATCACAATAAATAATGAAAGATAAACAAAAGCTCAAAAGGTTATCCAAAACCTAGCACCTGGACCACTAAAATCTCTATCTTTCCCAGTCCCATCTGCACCAAGAGTCTTTCATGTGTTGGTTAGCAAGATTCAGAGTTGAAACACTTGCTAGCATCTCGTTTATCTTGTTCTCATCTTGCCACGTGAACATAGCTAATTAGCTGCAGTACATTATCAATGTGTACACAATCAAATGCAGATTGAAGTGAGGACTCTCTAGGGAAAAAAATAAAAAAAAGATATACAGGAGAAGACAGGATTTGTAGTGAAATTGAAATATGTTCTTGTTTGGTTTCTTAGCAAGCACGCCATTAGAGGCAATACTACCGTGCATAAGTTGCAGAACAACCGCATCGCAGATAGCGATGGGAATTGCAGTAAATGGAAATGCATTAAACTTAGGGTTTCTTGGAGAGCACAATGATTGTGAGGTAGTTCTGGTGTACAAAGGTGTCACTTGAGACAGCGGACCAACCCCACCTCTTACCAAGGTTGTTAAATTGTGCGTGAGCACAGATGAGGAAAGACGCATTGTTTTTTATATAAATGATACGTCAATGGTGATAAATGATGTCAATAACACAAAAATAAAATGGCAGAACATGATGGTGTGAGTTTTATGATATGATGTGGTCTCCATCATATCTTCTTTTTATATCAAAGCTTAAGCTAAACAAAAACAAAAAAAAAAAAAAAAAAAAAACAAAACAAAACAAAAGAAATCTTCACATGCCAGATATGTCTACTTCACAAAATAAAGAGAAAGCCAAAAAAAAAAAAAAAAGAAGAAGAAGAGTTAGAAAGAGCTTTCAGCTTTCCACAAGAAAGGGTCAGTCGATTAAACGTTGTAAGTAATACATTTTATGCAGCTAGTATCAATAAATAGAATCATCGAGCATGACTAAGAAAAATTCTAAAACAGAATAGTATAACCTTAAGCACAGAATCAGCTGCATCATGAGACGATGCTTTCTCATTTGGCTTAGGCATTGAAACACCGACATAGGCTGGCTTTGAATCTGTGCTAGCTGTAGTGCTTTCCTTGTCAGTTTTTGGTGAACCCAACACCAAGTTTGAAGTAATTCTGGGATTGGTTGGAATCAGCAGTTTGTTTACCATATGGGAATCAAGAGGTTGTGATACAGTTTGAAAGGATGATTGGGATACTGGTTGAGATGGTGGGTATTTTGTGCTGGAACCATGAGCAAATATAGACTGCTGTTGATTCTGAAAACTTCCATAAGTAGGATTTGCATCCAGGGGCTTTTGAACATGCGGTAGTTGAGAATTAGAATAGTTATCTTGCAAAGCAGGAGTGCCCTGTTTCCAGTAACCTTCATTGATACTTCCACTTACTACGCCAAGCTGACAACAAAGAACACAGTATGCTAAATTTGACGTGAAATTGATCAAATATTTAACTTCAAAAAATAAGGACCCACACCATGCCCCTTTCCAATCCCCACACTACAACGACGAAAAACAATATATTTGTTGGAAGAAGTAAACTAATTCAGATAGTACTGATTATCAACATATTATTAATTCCCTTATTAATAGAAGAAGCTGGTATAGAAGAAACTGCTAACAATTCCTGTAGCTTTTCAGATGTTTAAAGAGATTGGAGAACCTTCATCAATGGCATTAAAACCATAAGAGAATTTGGATACAAAAAACAAAGACTAGCATATTTACAGTTTATGTTTAAAATTTTAAAGTCATATCATATAGGTGGGAAAGTGTAATGGCCAAAAAATGCATTTCTTTTAAGCACCAATCTCATAGCCATGGCATGTCATCTACCCTCCATAAAAAGCCAGACAGTACTCGTAGTTACAGACCAAGAGACCATTACAAAACCTCATAAAAGTATTCCATACTGCACAATGATTTATAATTTTGAGACTACTAATCATATAGAAGGACTGCCTAATTTCATGTCGTTTCTTTCTTGTATGAGTTGATAATACATTTCCCATGTATTTTCCTTGATTAATAAAATTATACGATTACCTTAAAAAAAAAAAAAAAAAAAAAAATTGAGACTACAATCCATAAAAAGGCGTGGCCTGGTCGTGACTAAAGCTCAATAGAGATAATTAGTTTCTCACAATTTTGCCAATGTGCAATTAGTAGAAAACTGGTTCACAGGTCGCAGCAAACCACATCTAGGAATACACAATGATAAGCTTCTTGCAGAAAAAACTTCTCTGGCTTAAAAGAATTAAACAAGAAAAAGAGCTGCTACGAATCCCAGTTAACTAATTGATTCAAAGAACTTATTACCAATTAACTTTGCATCTCATTGAATTATAGGTCACTTTTCTCAGTTAATGATCCAGGTAAGCCTGCAAATAATCCTCTTTCCTTTTATCCCTTTCTTCATTCCTGTTATTCGAAAAGGTTATAATTAGAAGGTCTTCATGTTGCAAAGGAACTTCTTATTGTTCAAGTTGATTTTATGAACTTCTTGTTAAAAGAACTATAACTTCCAATGATGTTGATGGTGGTCAACAACTCAAGTAGAACCAAGAAAGGTTATCTGCCCACCCTATATTTTTTCTGGTAATATCAGAAACTTCCTTCTCGACGCAAGGACACAAAATGAGGAAAAAGCAAGAAGAAGCAAAAAGGGATAGGTAGCAACCATAATATTTTCATTGATGTTTGTGCGTGGAAGAAAAACAGATTTCAGTTTTATGAAATGACTACAATGTTCCAGAAAAATGTGCAACTAATGCTGACTTCGTTTGTTTAGTAGGCTAGGATTACGGCTATAATAAAATTAACCTCAATACAATCATAATTCTTTTTCTGTTTTCCTACACCTAAAATGGAAAGATGTTCTCTAGAAGCAAGAATCTGTAATAAGACACATAAAAGTCATCATCTTTCAGACCACTTCCACAAATGCCTGTCGGCACTCCTTTGAAAGAATGCAGAACTTTATTATACAGACAAAGGTCGGACTTCTAAAAATAACTTATATGTGTGTGAAAACGAAACACAGAAAAGAGGAAAACAAAAGAAAAAAAGAGTCATGTACATGAATTTTATAATTCTGCAGTAGTGTGTTTCTAAATGATGATATTATTGTCACACACATATATGAATGCTGGCATGGTTATGAGGTTACCATAGTCATGCCTGACTTCAACTCTATACTCCTTGCATGACTAAAGAACTAAGAAAGATTGAGTACTGAATTTTATAATTAATCCATCCATTTAAAAATTAACTACTCCAATAACATGAAGTTGAATGTGACAAATATTATGGTCCAAGAGATACACTAACATCAGAAGAGTAGGAATTTTGTTTTGTCAATCTCCAGATGCCAAGTTCTTCAATAAAAGGCAAGGGCAATAAAGAATATATTTCACATGCTAATAAAACTATTTTTTTCGATTAAACCATTTAAGGTCAGTTCAATAGCAAAACATAACAGAAATAAAAAGCATGCAGAAGCATAAATTAAATGATCATGCATACAAAGCCATGCATAATAAAAAAGCAACTTCTTGATAACTGTAAGTCAAAGGAACAACCAAACCTGCAAGGGTGTAGACTCAGATGAACTAGACTCCTGCCTCCAAGACGGGGTATTAGGTGCCGGCAGCTGGTAGTTTGAAGCTGAATAAGTAGGAACAGAGCAACTAAGATTAGATGCACTAGTAACGGACAAGTTCTCTGTCCCAGGAGCACAGCTAACATCCGTGTGACTTTGATTATAATACTCTGACCATTGCTTATAATGTTGCTGATATTGTGAGGTTGCAACATCAGTGGTAGAACTATAAGCTGCATTTGTTTCGGGTTTGTAGCTTGGATATTGATTAGAACTGTATTCTGCATACTGCCTGCCATGCCACAAGTTGGTCTGAGCACCGTAGGCACCACTTGTATAACTTCCAGAAGTCTGATAATCACCAGGATTGTAGTAAGTGCTTGAATAACTTGCATGTCCAGTGTAAGACCGTATTCTGAAATGAAGAAAGAGGCTGCTAAGGAGGACCTGTGTTTTGGTAAGCTCCTATAGGCTGAGGATATGATTGATTGGACTGCTGTTGGTATTGATTGGATTGCTGTTGATATTGATTGGGTTGCTGTTGGTAGCCACTATAATAACCAGGATATCCTGAGCCGTTGTATCCATATGGATCGATGTTTGGATAGCTAGCATAACCACAATAACCTTGTGCAACATTTGCCCCTCCTGAATTTAATGTAGAAGCAATGGACGCAACATTCATCCCATCTTGAACATTTCTTGAGCTTGGCTCCACATGCTGATCACGGTGGTAACTGGGATTAGACAGGGTTCCATTTTCCCTCAAGATATGATGCTCCCCATGCGTGCTCCATGATGCCACAGCAGGATTAGGAAGATAATATGAGGATGTATGATCAACAACCTGGTGCTTCTGACAAATGAGGGTAAGCAACAAATCAGCCGTTAGAACCCATATTTACTTGAGGTCACCTCAAATAAAAGAACATAAAAACTATGTAGAGGTAAGGGGAGTTAAGAGAAAAAGATAGCGCTACTTTTTTGAGCTCATTGGATCAAAATTTTTATTTCGGTTGTTATGCAATATGGTGAGATCTCATATTAGGCCACAGTCCCATGCACAAAACAGAAAGTATCTCGTTTCATTAAAAACTCCACTTCCACACAGGTCAAATCATTCATTATAAATGTCATCACTGCAGTGCAAATTTGAACATGTAAAGGACTAAATTATATTCCAAAACTATTATAGCCCCTGTATGGCCCCCACTTCTTAGAACTCATTTTTCTTCAAACTTATTCTAAACCACATATTCCAATGACGCACAACTATTAACTTTTCAACCACTCCTTCCGTCAGTTGTTAATCAAAATCTACTAAATATCTGATTTTTATCCAAACAAAACTAGGGCTTAGTTTTCCCCCCAAGACATCCAACATAAATGACCAACCTTAGAGCAGAAAGTCAACTTCTCAAAAAAATAAGCACCACTCTAGCCATTCCTCATTAACAATAAGACTCCTCACTCTCAGTTATGCAGCCCAGCTCCAACGCAAACTAAGGTATTGAGAACAGAAATCTCAAATAAACTAGAGCAATCATACATTAGTGTAAGCAAACTAAAATCTCAGCCATACCGACGAGCCTTGGGCTAGAAAACAGCTAAACAACCGAATCTTTTATTCCAATTCTTTCACTATATATTTAACATATCATAATATGTTAATAGATACAAATGGGTTAACCCCAAGAGAGGAGAGAATGAGGTTGTCGGTTAAGACCAGAAGGTATTTTATTAAATTTAGGAAGTTTCTCAGATTTTGGGGCTGTATATAGGTTGGAGTAGCTTGGCATTGGCGGATGCCCACAAGAATTCGACTTTAAAAGCAAAAAAGTCGCACTCAAACAAATTTTTAAGCTTCTGACATTTTCAAGATCAAATCTGAAACTTTAAAATAGCAAACATAATGAAAATTAACCAAGCACTCAACTCAAAATTTACTCCACAAAAGCTTGTTTAGGCTCAGCTCAAACATAAAGCAAGCTAGTTTGAACATTTTCCCAGGCTCATTTACAACATCAGGATGAATTTGAGCAGCGTGAACTGTGAGGCTCGCCTCAAGCAGGCAATTTACAACCATGCTGAGATAAGTAAGATTATCTTGGTTGACAAATTTTGCTATCATACATATTTCAACTGAAAAGGATTAAAAATTGTGCAAATTATCAGTACATTAAATTGACAAATCACATGACAAAACTCAGGGAGAGTACTTGACAGATGACTCAAGATTTGAAATGATACTAACAGAGAATCAACTCTGATGTACCCCCTGAGAGACCTCCCGTCAAGGAACGAGCGTGTTTGGGTAAGCAAAGAAGTTACTTCTCTAAGTTCTGTTAATAAAAAAGGTCATGTTTGGCAAAATATGTAACTTGAAAGTAAGTTTGACTAACTTCCGCTTCCAGGATAAATTCTCCCGTTTGTGCCTCATAAAAGTCGGATATTTATTCGAGTATCTGGAACACAGAATATCTTTTCTTTTAATGATGTCTAAATAGGAACCTTTTTCCATTCGAGCACGGCCAATCATGCTCCATGGGATGGGTTAGAAACGATCTTCGTATGGTTTTCAATTATTGTGAAGAAGCATGTTATGGTGTATTCTAGAGAAAGAAATATGTTAAAGCTAGTTATATTGACATAACTGAGTTGGCTTAAAATGGAACAAAAGTTATAGAGGAAGTAATGCAAGATAATTTAGTAGTTACCTAACAAAATTATTTTGTTTCTATTATAATGAGAAGGGGCATGCATGAAACTTTTTTCATTTGGTGTGTGTGTGTGAATGAGATTTCGCACAAGTCGAGCTATGCTCAAATTATCTCGATATAAAAGCATCTATCGCAGGCATAAGTGAGAAAAATGCATGATGTGAGATTACACTCTAGGTAGAAGCACAAAATGGGATGGAAAGAAGCATTGGAGAGTTCAAGTACCTAACATTGGACAATTCCAATATCTACGTTCCATCATTAATAATTTCAAATAGCCAGTCAAATTGGAGATGATACTGGAAAGAAAATAGAGTTGGTTGGGGAAAGTAGAAAAAATGTTGTGATTGAACAACTCTTATTAGGTTAAAATAAAAATCTCTAGAGGACTTCAATATGATTCTGCAAACAACTACGAGTTGGTCTTAGAAGTAGTAAATACATACCCAGCAAATTTGTGAAAATAGATTGGAGGTAAAATAATGAAGTTGAATAATTAATGAACCTAATAGAATGAGGCAGTACTAACACATTCACATAATGCTGCTAGTTGCACTCAAGAAAAGATAAGACTAATATGAATGGCAAACCAAGTGGAAATAGGGGAAATGAGCCTAATCAACTAAGGTAGTACTAACACATTCACATAATAAAATCTATTTTGAGCATATAGTTTATGTACGGACTTGATATTAGATAAAGCAAAGCGGAAGAGAATAGATGATATATGGCCCTTGTAGTTGGGCCATAGAATAAGACTTCATAAAAAATTTTGACGCAGAACATATTCACAAAAATGAGGTTACATCTAGAATTCTACATTGAAATTTGTGACAAGTTCAGGAATATTTAGAATAATATTTGGGTGCTTTATTTTGAAAGGATGATGAGATTTAATTATTTAAGACTTACGAAGTATTGGTTATGTTGGCCTTCTAATAAATGTTGGAGGCGGACTTATATATCTATAGGGCATCGGTCCTATCCTAATTTTGACTAGATTGTTTAATAGTTTAGAAAGAGTCGTACATTGATCGAGAATTACCTTCCTAGTCATCCAGGACTCCTGTTCCTTTCTCTAGTCTAGTATAAGTCCTCAGAGTTTGAAAATACTCGTGCAATCCTGTATCTTTCAACAAAGTTGATCGTTAAGAAAAATCAATAAAAGTGCTTTGTTTTTCCACTTGTGAGAGTTCTTTTTTTCTCACAGTTCAGACACTATAATCTTTCCTCTAGTCATGAAATAAAAGCGTAACCATGTCTCCTCTTGAAATGATAAATGTCAAAAACGGCCACATCTTCTAAAACTTTATTGTTCCAATAAAAGTCTTACAGCATCCACAACAGCCTAAAATTCCATAAATCTCATCCTTTCCTCAGGAAACCATCCCTAATCCCTTAGCAAACTTACACATACAAAGTCAAATCTAACCACAAAATTCTTTATAGGAGGCTTTATGAGAGACTTCCTCAAGCTTTCCTAGATAAATTGTTTGTGTCTTATGTGTGCATGCATATAGACTGTTTACTTGACATCTGCATCAGCACTACATATTCATCAATCATTATTAACAGATTCTCCAAGTTAACTAAAAATGCTTCTATAAGGTGTTTCACGGGACATAAGTTATTGGTTCTTTATCCATATATAAGTATACAAGTCATCAATTAATGGCCATGCCCTAATTGTTAACAGTAAACCGAGTTTGGTGCCCCAAGATTTGTATGTGCCTCTATGTCGAGCTGTAAAAGATACTATAGAAGGCAATCGCCAATTTGAGACACTCAATAGTTGAAAATTATATTAGAACCCACCACCCACATGCATAATTATATTTTATGATGTTCTTATTGGAACCTATAAACACCAAATTGACTGCATATGGAACTCATCATACATGAATCATGATATCACAAAGTTTTTGGTATTAATAAAATCAAATAAAGATAGAAAGTGAGATGCAGTAGTAATAAAAGAATACACGTTTTACTGTACAGATGTCAAACAGATAGAAATTTTTGTGTGGTAATCCCAAAAGGATGGTATAAGCCTGGGGAAACGAGAAACAGCACCCAACTGCCAATGCTAGAAACTTTCAAATCTTACCTACATAACTAAACCCCGTGTGTCAGTGAAATCTTTCTAGATCTGTTCTGAGTTTATTGCTATATACTGTTAACCACCTCATATAAATGTCATTTTACATAAATAAAAAGGGTACATAAACCGTGAACTGTTAACTCCTTATTGAACACATCCTTTTCTTCCGAAGGATGAGACCAAATTCAAAAATATTGATCAAAATCAACATCACAAGCAAAGTTGCAAGCTATTGAAGCATCCAGGATCAGGCATATAATGTCTTGCACATTAAAAATCATTACCATGCATAACCACGACTCTTTTCTCTTTTCAAAACATCGTAAATGGGAAAAAAATTAAAAAATAAATAAATATAAAACTGCATTCGCATATAAAGCGGGAGAGTTGAGGTAATCACCTCTACAGAATTGGGATCCAGAGTGGTGCTGTTTTTTGCTGCTTCTCCTTGATTCATTTTCACCTCATTAACATTCTAAAAAATCTATCATTTAAAGTGTAAATGTCAATTCCAAATCGCCATTGTAAGGATTTTTAATTAAAGATGGGCTTGTATGTGTGAATAATTGTGTGTTAAATTATAGGCAATCGAATTCGGTTGAACCCAATTAAAGTGATCTAATAAGGCTTAGGTTTTGGGCTTTAATGTATCCAATTAAAGTATGGGTTTGCATATGTGTAGAGACCAGACCCAAATCCTAATTCTATGATGGGCCGAATTAGGTCAAAGGGCATCTCTATATAAATAGGTTATGGTCCCCAGATCACACACACGTATTATTCATTCTTTACTGCATCCCATCACAGAGAGGAAAATGAGACTGCGTGTAGATTTGGAAGACCATACCGCGAAATTCATATTGCATTAACTATGTCTGATTCAGGTACGCTTCCACTTTAATTCTTATATTTTTTGATGATTTAACATGAAAGATCCGGTAATTTAAAGCACTAAATTATCCACTGTCGCTGCCAGCGCTGCTGCACACGCAGCAGCACCGGGCTTGTTACAAGCGCCGACACCTTACTCCGGGCGGTGCCAGAGTGCGCCGCCACTAGAAGAAGGAGAAAAGAAATTTTTTGGTTGGTTTTCAGTTTCTGCCAAATTTTGGAGGCGGGGCTTCCTCTGTAAATTAGGAAAGTTGAGGCCCCTGGTTGCAATTAGGGTTAGGGTTATAAAATTAAGGTTTCAGTCTTTAACCTTTAAGTTATATTAAGTTTTGGGCCTTTAAGTTTCGGATTTAATAATTCAGTCCCTAAGGTTTTAAGATTAATTAATTCAAGTCATTAAAGTTCTGAATTTTATAATTAAAGCCCTCAGACTTTAATAATTAATTCAAGTTGACCCCTAAAGTTTCAAAATTTTAAAATTTGATCCCTAAAGTTTTGAATTGGTCAATTTTGGCCCCTAAAGTTTTAAAATTTGTTCTAATTGATCCTCTAAAGTATTAAATTAATTAATTTTGGTCCCTAAAGTTTCAAGTTTATTAATTTCAACCCTTAAAGTTTGGAATTAATTAATTTAGTCCCCCTAAAGTTTTGAATTATTAATCCTAAGGCCCCTAAAGTTTAAAACTAATCAAAATATGCAAAACGGGTGATTCTCTTTCTCAAATTTTGGTACTAAAGACTCTTTTAAGAGATATAATATTCGGAAGTTGGTTAATTGAAGCAACATGTTGTCGAAGCAACCTCTCTTGTGAAAATTGACTAACTTAGAATGTTAAAAAAAGTATTTGTGCATGTGTTATTTATGGGAATATTGGTCGGCCCAAAGGAAGGTCAATATTAGCCGAATACACGTGCACCTGTGGTGATAAACGTGTAACGATTATTTGGTTTAATATGTGATCAATAAATCGGTCCAAATAAAGGTTTATTGATTGACACATTGTTTTATCATCCATGTTTGATCACTACTCCAAGAGTACCGCTTACAAGTCAATATCTCTGTCCAAAGACTGGATATTGATGTTGTGTTTGGTATCTTGTGATGGGCCCTACCACTATTTGAGATTATTATTATTTGCATATTAAAGATATTCATGTGAGCTATTCATAATAAATGTTCTCTAATTCAGTTTCAGATTCTGCTGCTAATATCTCTGCTAGCATCAATTCAATTCCATTGTTAAATGGCACAAACTTCAGGGCATGGCAAGAGAACGTTATGATTGTTCTCGGAGTCATGGACCTAGACCTTACTTTACGGGTTGATTAACCTGCTGCACTTACTGATAAGAGTACCTCTGATGACAAGAGGGAGATGAAAAAGTGGGAACGATCGAACCGCATAAGTTTAATGGTCATGAAGCGTGCTATTCCAGAAGCATTCCGGGGCACTATGTCCGATAAGGTGACTACGGCTAAGGGTTTCCTTGAGGACCTTGAGAAGAGGTTTGCCAAGAATGAAAAGGCTGAAACAAGTACACTTTTGGCAAATCTTGTCTCAATGAGGTATAAAGGGAAAGGAAACATTCGGGAGTACATTATGAAAATGTCTCACATTGCTTCAAAACTAAAGGCATTCAAGTTGGATTTGTCTGAAGACTTGTTAGTGCACTTGGTTCTGATATCCCTTCCGGCACATTTCAGTCAATTCAAGGTGAGCTACAACTGTCAAAAGGACTCATGGTCCCTTAATAAGCTCATCTCAGACTGTGTCCAGGAAGAGGAAAGACTGAAGCATGAGAAGACAGAAAGTGCTCATTTGACCACCATCTCTAAGGACAAAAGGAACAAGAAAAGGAAAATTAATAAGGAAGCTGCGGGTATGACACCGCAAAAGAAACAGCATAAGGAACCAACTGAGGGCTGTTGTTTCTTCTGTGGAGCTGCAGGTCATAAGAAGAAGAATTGCACCAATTACTACGCATGGCGTGTAAAGAAAGGTACTCTTCTTCATTTGGTTTGTTCTGAGGTTAATTTAACTTCGGTACCTAGACATACATGTTGGATAGATTCTGGTGCAACAACTCACATCAGTATGTGTATGCAGGTTTGCCTGAGTTGTCGAAAACCAAGTG